GAATTTGAAGGAAAAAAACAATCAGTTTATTTTTAATCAAATGCAGAATCCACATGTTAAAGCTTATTTATTATTTTTTAAATTTATATTATCTATATTCAATGAGTTTAATGCCTTCTTCCAATCTAAAAGTCTTTAATATCTCATCTTTACATAGAAAGTGTTCTTTTTATTAAATTATTAGCCTCTAACTTTATCGAAACAAAAGTATTATCGGCTTATGAAGATAATATTGAAACTTTTTACTTTATAATACTTAGTTAATTATTTATTAACATTTGAATTTAGAATTGTTCGAATGTTAGAATTTTTCAAATACTTAAAAATTTTTTCAAAATTTAAATATTTAAAAAATTTGAAATAATTAATAATGATAAAAAATCATTTTTATTATATAATAGGTATGTCAATTCACAATTTAAAAAAATTGTATTTACATTACATAAACATGTCAAATTACAACAAACGTCAAAGGTCGCTGTGGGTCACCATGACCCCAAAGCGCCATTTTTTTGTAATATGTTCTGCGAAAGTGAAAAATGGTTATACGTTCCAATAATATCAAAGAATACAGGCAGCTACTGTGAGTCACATTAAAAAAACAAAATTATGAACGATTCAGCAAATCATAAAATATAGGCTGCGGGTCAGAATGAGTCATGCGACCTCTTCCGGGAAATAAAATTTGTAATCTAATTTTGTAAATTTGGGAGTACTTCAAATATGATGTTAAAACAGGGTTTTATGTTGTTACAAGTGGGTTTTTTAACATTATCTAGTATAGTAAAATCGTGGGACCGATAAAAATTTGATGTTATGTTAGGGTTGTCGTTACATCCGATGATGTTATAATCAGATTAAACTGTGTGTGTTTAGTTTGTGTTACCGAGGATGGTCATCTTATATTTAAATATAGAGATCAGACTGAGGGACATGGATAGCATAATTGGCAATGCAAGTAAGTGGCAGTTGTGAGTTTGAGTCCCTCTTTCAGCTGATTCTTTCTTCCAGAATTTTCTAAATTATTTAATTTAATTATAATTATTAAATCTAATAAGAGATGGCACCTAAAGCTTCCCTCTCACTAGTGACATATTATTTAGTAATTAATTTAAAATAATTGCAATATAATAGCCTGATAGAATCTGTTAGTTGTTGGCTTATTACATATGTATGGTTCATTGCATAAAGATTTGCACTGTACCTAATTCTAAGTGATCAGCGCAAACAGAAGTTGAATACATACAACCAAGGTTAGTTCTACCTGTTACCAAAGTGGTTTGAAATGGACTATTTTGTTCTGTGACATGTCAGGTGAGGAAAATGATCAACAGGGGCAGCTTTTAGAGCTCTTAGCCAACAATACTAATTGCTGCTTGCTATTATAGCCTTACATGCATCACTCACAAAACAAGACGCATGCATGGCTAGAGGGTAGAGCTTTTTATTATAAAATTGTGAAATTATGGCCCTTGCATATTGGAAAAACATGATTTTATCTTTTATTTATGTAAATTTTTTTTTGTCTTCTCAGGTTTCCTCTGTTTATTTTTTTAAAATTTGATAGAATAAATGGAAGAAACAAACATATCAAAGGTCACTTTCCTGTAAATGATCTGAAGTTTCACAGATTGACATCAGCTTTGTTTGTAATTGCAGAAGGGTGGCATTGTATGTCAAGGTTAGGATAGTAAAATTTTATTACTTTCCTGGATGGGAGGGTGTGAAATGAAAACAAACCATCACACCCAATTGTAAAGTAAACAAACTGCAAAGTGTTTTATTATGGTCTAAACAAAAGCTTCCTTTAGGTTTTAAGAGGATCAGATAACAATGTTATTGCATTCGGAAGAATGTTGACTTTCATATTTAACAGTTAGTTTGGTCACACGTGATTTTTTTTATGCGATATAGTCACATAGTTACACACACACACACACACACAACTATAATATTATGTACATATATATGTATTTATACATATACATATACTCTAATATTCTCAAAACAAAAAAATTTTGAAAATTGAAATTTTATCAAATACAGTAGAGCGTCGATTTTCCGAATCAATTGGGGACTGGGGTTGTTCGTATAACTGATATTTCGGATAATATATTTACGTACGAAAAAATATATTAATTTATCCCATGTTGAAATTTCTCTCCGTTGCGTGTCGCTTCGCGTTGAATTTTCGTCTAACAAAGACTATTGTATTGTTAAAAATTATTTTTTTATTTTGTACAAACAAAATAAATATATTGAAAAATATAAAAACAATAAAAAATTATACTTCAGATGTTAATTTAATATCAAAAACGTAAAATATTTGAGTAGCCGAAGACATAGCCAAAGATTAAAGCTCCACAACACTGGCGAAAATTTAAATTTGCTGACTGGAATTCTTTCGGATGATTGACTTTCGGAAAATCGACACTCTACTGTAATTGCATTTGTCATGCTGCCTGAATAACAGTGTTATATATATTTGCATGACAGGTCTTGTTGTTCTGAGCAAATGCAAACATCCATTTGAAATGAATTTAAATTTTTTTTTGTCTAGAGAAGAAAGAGCAGAGAATATAAGAAATGGTATTTTTGTAAAATATATTCATTTTGAATTGCTATTGTGTTGAATCACATTATGTGCAGCACTCGCAAGAGTTATACGCATGTAATTTAATACAGTTATTTTATCGAACCACAAAGTTTCAAAAGAACACATATCAGCCATGTGTACTACTTATAATAGATTAAAAACACATTTAATCGAGTTTTTTACAAAACAGATTATACAAAAAAGTAATATTTATAGATATTTGCAATTCAGGAATGTAAAGAAATCTTTGAAAGTGTAATTATGCATCGTCATAATTTTATCTTAGAGGAATCCAATTTGATTATGGTCGAACTCAAATTTTCTGCCGTGGATGAAGAAAACATAGATCATTCATCATTACATAGAGATGTGTTGCTGAAGTTTTTTGAGTCACAGAATTTGAAGGAAAAAAACAATCAGTTTATTTTTAATCAAATGCAGAATCCACATGTTAAAGCTTATTTATTATTTTTTAAATTTATATTATCTATATTCAATGAGTTTAATGCCTTCTTCCAATCTAAAAGTCTTTAATATCTCATCTTTACATAGAAAGTGTTCTTTTTATTAAATTATTAGCCTCTAACTTTATCGAAACAAAAGTATTATTGGCTTATGAAGATAATATTGAAACTTTTAATCTATATAATCCACATAATCTATTGCTATCGAAAAGATTAAATTGTTAAAAAAATTACAATTAAATTGTTGGGGTGCCCACAAGAGCATTAATTAATGATTTAAGTAATACTGACAATGAATTATTTATTTTGAAATGTCTAAAGTTTTACCAAAAAGCAATGAGTGAAGCATTTAAAAGATTTCAAATTGCAAACCATTTTTTTAATAAAAATTTAGATTTTTTGCAAATAAAAGCAATATTTTTAATGTCAATAAAATACTGTATTATAATTATATTATTGTTCATGTTGTTAACAATTTAATTATTTATTGTTCATTGTTTTTAACACTATTCTGAGTACAACTTTTATCGTATTGTATCAATAAAGCCTTTCTATGATTTGGAAATTTGTTGTTTTTTGAGTAGCAACAAAGTAGCAACTTTTCAAAATATTTGTGGCGAAATCAGCAACTTTTATTTTAAAATGTAGCGACATTCACTTACGAAAAGTTGGGAACACTGAGTCTGGTCTAGTACGCCGATAGTGCTACTTGTTCATAGATGGCGCACATAATTGAATTAAGTTGTATACGGAACAAAAGTCGTATACTGAGCAAAATTTGTTTTGTTCAAACAGGACGTATTCCGAATTGGACGTATTTTAAAGTAGACATATACTGAGGTATCATTGTATTTTTATGAATTAAAATTTAGTAATTGTAATGAAAATTTTGTTATTTCATAAAAATATTTATTTGTGTAACTGCTAAAATTTATGGAAATTTTTTTGCACATTTCTACCTTGCCCTTATACTATACTTCATATGTTTTATAAATAAAGTGATTAAACTTAATTTGATTACTGCAATTTTTGTAATTTACAGGGAAGCAACATTTGATATGTTTATTTCTTCCCTTTATCCAAATTTCAAAAGAATAAACATAGGAAACCTGGGAAGGGGAAAAAATTACTTAAAGATATAACTGTAGTTTCTGATATGCAATGGCCATAATTTCACAATCTTATAATAAAAAACTCTAGCCATATGTGCATCATGTTGCATGAGTATGCACACAAGGCTATAATAGTGAGCAGCAATTAGTATTGTTGGCAGTGGAGTTGGAGTTGAGCTAAATAAGTACTCTATTTTTCTGAATGAGCAGACTAATTGATCAGAGTATATATTTTTCTTTTCTGAACAAGGGGTTGAAGTAGCTAGATTGCAAGCTTTTTAGTTGGACAAACTTTTCTGGAAAGGTGAAATTGAAGTGCAAAAGTTGCAGAATAAAGATATATATAAATATTTTTACAAATAAATATTAATGTAAGTTAAATATTAAAAATACAAACTATAAAAGTATTTGGGTAAATGCCTGGGGCTTCTTTTTAGAGTTCAGAGTAAGGTAATCCCCCTATGAGTGCCTCTGTCCCCCTAAAATGACTTGTTATTTAATTTTGCCTGAGTCGGAGTCGGCTTACTAAAATTATCAGGAGTCGGAGTCGAGTGTTTTTTTACCGACTCCACAGCCCTGGCAGTCCTACAAGATGACCCTGTTGACAATTTTCCTCACCCAGCATGCTGCAGAACAAACAGTCCATTTCAAATTGTTTTCATAGCAGGTATAACTGACCTTCATTACGCTTGCTCAACTTCTGCTCATGATGATTGCTTAGAATAAGGTACAAACCATTAAGCAGTGAACAGTACATTGGGTTTGTAGTTGGTTCAAGTTTTATGAGTATATATTCTTCTAATATCTTTCATTCATTTAATATAATAGATGGATTATGCTGAAGAAACAACAGAAAAAAGACGAGTATTAGAAATTGAAAAAGAAGATACAGAAGAACTTAGACAGAAATATAAGGTAACTGATTTGGAAATATTAATTAATAATTATGTTAATAATCAAATTAAATTATTATGATATTTGTAGGCCAATCAAGAAAAACAAAAGGCTGTTCAAGAAGCTTTAGCAACGCTGAAAGCAAATTTTTATTGTGAATTATGTGACAAACAATATCATAAACATCAAGAATTTGATAATCACATCAACTCATATGATCATGCCCATAAACAGGTAATTAAATTAGATCTTAACTTAGCTCATTCTATAATAAATACAAAATTTAATTATTTAAATAATTTTAATTTAAAATGAGGAAGATTCATTGTTCAAAAGAAGAAAATTTGGATCTAACATATTGAATACAGAAATCAGATAACTAATAGCAAGTATAGTTAAAAATTAAGAGTTTAAATAAAGAGAGACAGAATGTTTTGAAGTAAATTTTATTGCTGCATATTAATATTACAATGAGATTGTTCATTCATATCTGTACTTAATTTTGTTGTTGAAATTTTATAGTGATGATTTTTTAAGTGTGTTTATCGTAAGTAGGCATAATATACAGGTAACCTTTGTATAACACGCGTTATCTGTGTTATATGTTCCAAAAAATTGCCATGTTATGCAAATCCATGATATACAAAACAAAGAACTAGTGCAAAAAGGGGGTTAGATTCCAAAAATTAAAAAACATGCTGTTAAATCCTTATTTAAATCGAACTTATTATTCATTTTTTTCATAGGTAAAATACTTATTTATTATTTAAGTAAATATTTTACCAGAGGATTATATATGATGATCTCAGCATGAGCATCATCAACTGGTAACAGTTTTTGGGTGCATTCGTTAGTAGCGGTCTCTCTGCAACGGGAGTGCGCTGCTGTTTGTAGGCATTTAGGAATGACGGTGAAAGAAAGATGGTGGCACTTGCACTATCGATAGTATCGTGATGGAGGAATCTATAATTCTAAAACAAGCTTTTAGAGGCAAAAAAAGGGTCCCAATTGTAAAATTTAACCATTAAATGGATTATTTGTTGAAAGAGCATTCAAAGTAGCCATGAAAACAATAGAATGATCGCGTGGAGGTATAAAAGTATGCACTCTTTATTACATTTCATGTTGTATGAGGGTTTTACCCAATTCTCAAACTGTGTTGGAGTGAATCCATGCTATAGAAGTGCCATGTTATACAGGGGTTACCTGTATATGAAATTAATATCTATAATATTTAAAGTTCAGAGTTAAATTTTGTAAAAGATGATGATAAGCAAATACATATTATTACATGTCTTTTCGTTTTACATTTCCTGAAGAGGGCCGATAAAATAGTGGCTGGAAATGTTCGAACATTGAAGTTAAGCATTTCTTTGCTGGGAATTTTGCATTTAGGTGTGATTCTCTACTCTATATTATTACTTATTATATTAATTTTGAAAAAATATTTCAAATATATTTTCTCCTCAAATTATTGTTATTGAAATTTGATTTATAATAAAAGAAAGTATGAGTATTTTAAAAATATAAATTTGCTCTTTGACAAAAATATTTGTCTATTCAGATAAAATTGTCTGATTACTGAAAAAGTTATTATCAGGGCTGTGGAGTTGTGTAAAAATCTACCGACTCCGACTCTGACTTTTCCTTATCATCTGACTCCGACTCCGGCTAAAACACCAAAACTCCATGACTCCGACTCAACAGCCCTGGTTATTATACAGCTATCTCAGACAGGTATGCAAATGATTACAGTTGAGCTGTCAATGAACATCAAGAATTACCGGCAAAATGCTTTAAATATGCTACTCTAGTACTATATAAAAAGGCTTTCAGAAGATTAGTGTGTTCAGTATTTTCAGTGTACTCGTTGTTTGGTTGTCCTTGAACACTAAGCATGCTTCTGTGACACATTCAAAAACAGTACAAATCAACTGACTGAATTCAATAGAGTTTGCATCATCAGGTTGGGAGAACAAGAATGGTCATTTTAGATTATCAGATTTCACTGTGAAAGGTGCTAGCAACAGTGGCTATAGAAGGGGACAGGCATACATTGGGAAGGTTTTAGTCAATATAAATGAATTATCTCAAGAAAATCACTAGACAGGTACATTTAGATCCAACAGCTTCTTTCCACTGTCCAGAAACAGATAGTCACACGGGATTTTTTGAGAACCAAAATTCATCTTGAATGATTTGTGAGGAACATACAGAGAAAGGACTACATTTTTGGTGCCCCTTACATTGATTACAATTAATATTATGACATTGAGAGTTATATTTGCAGTGGTGTTGGAATTGCAACACATAGTTTTTAGTGATGAATCTCACCTCTGTCTGTGAATGGATGGCTATTTGCATTTAAGTTTGAAGAAAGACTGGGCAGCTCCAAAATTCCATCTTTATTGTTCAGCACTATATTCTCAACACTAGTGGTAGGATGGTGTGGAGTAGCATTATCCTATGGTAGATGGTCTCCATTAGTAGTGATAGGTGGACACCGACTGCTAATTGATATGTTTAAGAGATCCTGTGATCTCATGTAGCTCATGGCACGTTCTCAATAGGCTATTTTTCAACAGGATACTAGCCACATGCACACAGTTCAGATTTCTCAGGAGTGTCTCTGTAATTTTAACAATTTTTCTTGGCTTGCTCCAAATTTGTCACCAATAGATCTGTGGGACAGCAACTTCAGCCATCAATTAGTGTGCAAAATTTGGAGAGATTGTTACAAAATATTTGAGTAAAACTGTTTGAAGACAGCATAAAGTCTCTCTCTGACTCCATACCAGACTAATTATATTATCAAAAATAAATATTTAATTAAATGACGAGATAACTCGTCAAGGTTACATAGCGTTATGTAAAATTCGGTAGTTAAGGCCACTTTTGACAAAATTTTTTATTTCAATTTTTGGAATGTTTTTTAGGTCCCCAAATTTTTTCAAAATTTTTTGTCCGCGCGAAAAAAATTTATCGCGATTTTAATGAGCCTTTGATAAGGCTTAATTGCTTTTTAATGGGAGTTTTTTTTTTATCAAAATTAATTAATCGTTCTGAAGTTGTAGTGCACCGATTTTCCTTCGGTAAAGTTATTTAAAGCTGCTTTCTGATGTCAAAAACGACCTCCGATAGTTTTTTAATTTTTTTAATTAATAGATTTTATTATATATAAATTTAATTAATTAGGGGGCGGAAATCGCAATTAAAATCTTAATTTTTTAAAAATATTTAAAAATATACGTGTTGCTCATATTCACCCTACTTTAAACCTTTGTCCTCCCGAGACGTATATGAGAATGCCCCGGGAAATCCGACTCCAGCTGTGTTCAAGGTCATCCAGCTGTGTAAACAATGACTCATTGGTGTTAAATTTCATGGTATGAATGGTACAGTTGTTATGTGAAGTACTGTACTTTTATAAACCAGAAATCTTTCTAATGTAGAAATGAAAAATTTGAGAACCAATTGCATGACATGACTCAATATTAAGTCATGCAATTGGTTCTCAATGTAATGAAATGGTGTTACATAAACAAAAAAAAGAGTTCAATCAGGTGCCAGACCTGGACTTTCAATATAGGCAAAACAACACAAACATATTGGTTCAAAAATGATTAGTGCAACAGAAAATTTTAAAATAATTGACTAGGCATCAGAAATTCTGTGAATGAATTAGTAATAAAAAAAAATGAAACTATGTTAGCACTGATAAATCACGCAAAAAAGTTATGTAAAAAGTCAGAACTATAATTAGTCGAAATCAAAAACAAAACCTAATAAATAAATAAGCAATTACTTATAACCAGCATTAATTCTCTCATAAACGAATGTTTTCTTCCATCTTTAATGATTATCATCAGGTTTCTATGCTTTGGAATGTTTGTAAAAGAACGCATCTTCCAAAACCTAAACTAATATTTACAAAACTTTCCCAACAAGTAGGGAACTTAAATCTAACTTAAAATTAATTTTTCACAAGAACTAAGAACGTAACTTGTAATCAAATCATTTATAAAAAAAAAACTCATACAATTTAAACTTGCATTTCTTATTTAATAAATACATAAAATTATAAATATGACTTTAACAAAGGTAAAGCCTTGCTTTTGTCTTTCTTTTTGTAGGCAGTAGCCTCAAAAGGAAGGTCGTCTCTGTAACTTTGTGAATTGTTTAATGACTGCTGATGGTGTGAATGGCAAAAAGAAAGACAAAAGCAAGGTTTTACCTTAAATATAGATAACACTGAGCGTATATTTCCATTTTTTTTTTTTTTTTTTTTACTTAAAATTGCATTTCTTAACTAATGGTTTCTGAAACTGTGTGAGTCTGCAGTCCATCATGGGGTGGGAGTTTTAGGAGTTCACAACACAAAAAATGTTGAGAACAACTGATCTAAATCATCTAACTATCACACCAAAAATGCTAGGAAATTCTTATTTGCTAGAACCTTAAAAATAACCTTGCTTGCTCTTGGGAACTTCACCTCATCTGTCTTCTGTTTCATTTGATCTTTTATACATCTCAGGTGTGATGTCACAATTATGTGCCACTCTATTCCATATATATACTGTACGTGCTAATGTGTTTTACTTTTCTCTTTGCAATCTTTTTTCTTTACAAAAGTCTTTCCAATCTTTTCAAAACATGTTCTTGCTGATTTTAAAAATCAGCAACAGTAGGATTAAGAGACTACTTTTTAACTTCACAGAGATCACTTAATCTGAGATGCCATTTTGAGATTTGTTATGTTAGTTTCATGAGTGTCAGTACCATATGCAAATGTTGTCTGTTATTTTAGAATTTAGAGTTGGTAGTTTCATTTTTTTGTAGAAAATAAATTATAATGATAACTAGATAAAAACCTGAAAATAAAAGATAATGGTCAGACTTAACTCCGTACGATATCTGTGATATGCAATGTACAGTACAATTGTTATTTCTTTTCAATTTTCCAGATCAGTTAATTTATTCTTTGGCAGTAACAGATATTTGAAAAATACAGTGGAACCTCGGTATATGACCTTAATCTGTTCCTGATGTTTGGACTTATACTGAATAGGACGTATACCAAACCAACCTTTCCCATAAGAAGTAATGTAAAAATGAATAATATGTTCTCATGTAAAAAAATGGCTGGCTTTAAACACCTTGCTTTCCTGGCTAGTTCCTGGTTGATTCTTCATGAGATCAGCATGTATCTTTTTAGCTTTCTCACAAATAATTGC